ATATATTTATCAAGAAGAAAACCAAATAATTAAAGAAAAATTATAAAAAAATAAAGAAAATATTAAACGACAAATTATAAGATAAGAATAATTACTATCAAAACAAAACATTATAACAACAATTAACAAGCAACCAAATTAAAAAAAAATATCATAGCTCATAAAAATGTCAAAATTAAGAAAAGCGAGAAAATGAGAGAAGATTATAAATTCGATGGCCAAGAAATTTGAGAAGGAACTTTGTTCTCAATGGAGATTGCGAGAAAGATGTCTGTTTTTTTAACATCAACCATTCAGAGCCAAAAGCAGCGTATTTTCTTCCCAAGATTTCTTAGCAAACAAACTAATACATAAAGTAAAATCAAGCAAAAAATAATATATATTTATAAAACAAAAAACAAAAAACTGAATAATAATTAGAGAAAAATTATAAAAAATAATATTTATCAAAAAAAAAAAAAAATCAAAAATAAAGAAAACATGAACCAAAGAATTGTTGTAAGACAAGAATCAGAACTATGAAAACAAAACATTATAAAAATAATTCCCAAGCAACCAAATTAAAAAACCATGAGTCATAAAAATCTCAAAATAAAGGAAACTGAGAAATTGAGAGTTAAAGATTATAAATTTGATTGACAAGAAATCTAAGAAGGAACTTACTCTCAATGGAGAATGCGAGAAATAAGTTTGTTTTTTTAACATCACAACATTGAGACCCAAAAGCAATGTATTGTTCCAAAGATTTCTCGGCAAACAAACTAATAAATAAAGTAAAATCAAGAAATAAATAATATATTTATCAAGAAGAAAACCAAATAATTAAAGAAAAATTATAAAAAAATAAAGAAAATATTAAACGACAAATTATAAGATAAGAATAATTACTATCAAAACAAAACATTATAACAACAATTAACAAGCAACCAAATTAAAAAAAAATATCATAGCTCATAAAAATGTCAAAATTAAGAAAAGCGAGAAAATGAGAGAAGATTATAAATTCGATGGCCAAGAAATTTGAGAAGGAACTTTGTTCTCAATGGAGATTGCGAGAAAGATGTCTGTTTTTTTAACATCAACCATTCAGAGCCAAAAGCAGCGTATTTTCTTCCCAAGATTTCTTAGCAAACAAACTAATACATAAAGTAAAATCAAGCAAAAAATAATATATATTTATAAAACAAAAAACAAAAAACTGAATAATAATTAGAGAAAAATTATAAAAAATAATATTTATCAAAAAAAAAAAATCAAAAATAAAGAAAACATGAACCAAAGAATTGTTGTAAGACAAGAATCAGAACTATGAAAACAAAACATTATAAAAATAATTCCCAAGCAACCAAATTAAAAAACCATGAGTCATAAAAATCTCAAAATAAAGGAAACTGAGAAATTGAGAGTTAAAGATTATAAATTTGATTGACAAGAAATCTAAGAAGGAACTTACTCTCAATGGAGAATGCGAGAAATAAGTTTGTTTTTTTAACATCACAACATTGAGACCCAAAAGCAATGTATTGTTCCAAAGATTTCTCGGCAAACAAACTAATAAATAAAGTAAAATCAAGAAATAAATAATATATTTATCAAGAAGAAAACCAAATAATTAAAGAAAAATTATAAAAAAATAAAGAAAATATTAAACGACAAATTATAAGATAAGAATAATTACTATCAAAACAAAACATTATAACAACAATTAACAAGCAACCAAATTAAAAAAAAATATCATAGCTCATAAAAATGTCAAAATTAAGAAAAGCGAGAAAATGAGAGAAGATTATAAATTCGATGGCCAAGAAATTTGAGAAGGAACTTTGTTCTCAATGGAGATTGCGAGAAAGATGTCTGTTTTTTTAACATCAACCATTCAGAGCCAAAAGCAGCGTATTTTCTTCCCAAGATTTCTTAGCAAACAAACTAATACATAAAGTAAAATCAAGCAAAAAATAATATATATTTATAAAACAAAAAACAAAAAACTGAATAATAATTAGAGAAAAATTATAAAAAATAATATTTATCAAAAAAAAAAAATCAAAAATAAAGAAAACATGAACCAAAGAATTGTTGTAAGACAAGAATCAGAACTATGAAAACAAAACATTATAAAAATAATTCCCAAGCAACCAAATTAAAAAACCATGAGTCATAAAAATCTCAAAATAAAGGAAACTGAGAAATTGAGAGTTAAAGATTATAAATTTGATTGACAAGAAATCTAAGAAGGAACTTACTCTCAATGGAGAATGCGAGAAATAAGTTTGTTTTTTTAACATCACAACATTGAGACCCAAAAGCAATGTATTGTTCCAAAGATTTCTCGGCAAACAAACTAATAAATAAAGTAAAATCAAGAAATAAATAATATATTTATCAAGAAGAAAACCAAATAATTAAAGAAAAATTATAAAAAAATAAAGAAAATATTAAACGACAAATTATAAGATAAGAATAATTACTATCAAAACAAAACATTATAACAACAATTAACAAGCAACCAAATTAAAAAAAAATATCATAGCTCATAAAAATGTCAAAATTAAGAAAAGCGAGAAAATGAGAGAAGATTATAAATTCGATGGCCAAGAAATTTGAGAAGGAACTTTGTTCTCAATGGAGATTGATTCAACATGAACATTTGTAAATGTATAATGCATGTGTTAACTTTTGAAAACGAACTCTGATGAATGCAAGTATTTTATTTCTATTATTCTTCTGCTTATGAGTTGGATTTATTCTATTATTTTGGGGGGGTTACAACTTGGTATCAGAGCTTACCGAGTTTGAATACTTTGCGTATGTGGGAAGTGGCTAGTACGATAATGGTTTTGTCTCGTTTGGTTGAGACGTTGGTATGTATTATGTTTTTTATGTGATAACATGCTTATATGATTATAAGGGTATAGGGTTTAGTTTCTAAGATACTGATTGGGTCAACGGGTTTCTGGAAGTCCTGTTAGAAGAGCATTTGATCACTACTGTTTCTAATTGGAACTATAGCAACGCCGCAAGATGGTCATTATCTAGGAAGGAAATTCGTATGTGTTTATGTGATTATATGTTTATATGGAGCAAGGTTTTCAAACCCGGACCGGATAGGCCGGTCGGACCGGTTGAACCGGGAATCGGGCCTGGTTCTGGTCCGGACAGCCCAGCAAACCCGGAGGAGGCTCAAAACCGTTCTTAAATGAGAGAATCGGATGGCCCGCTGGTTCAACTGGAAAACCCAGTGACCCGGACGAGTTTTGAGGAACCGGCCGGGTTGATTAAAGTTATATATAACACTGAAAAAACCCAAATTCTAGGGCTGCATCAGATTTTCTTTGGCTCATCTCTCTCTTAAAAAGGGTGCTCGTTGGTTTTGGCCTAAAATCTCACTCTCTCTCTGTGAAATTCTGGTGGTCAACGGAAGTGACGGAGGACACAAATCCGGCGGTGACCGACGACCTCTGCTCTTCCCTTTTTCTACTCTGCTCTTCCTTTGGTAAGTATTCTCTTTCTTTCCCCCTTCTCTTCCTCTTTTGCTGCTCTGCTCTTCCCTTTTTCTCTTTTCCGCTGGCTTTATATAATATATATATATATATATATTTTAGATCAGAGACCTCTGCTTAGTCTGCTACTGTGAAATTGATTTTTTTTTTGGTGCGAGTGAGACCTCTGCTTGCTACAGTGCTACTGCAATTTTCTCTGAACGAAAGTTACAATTTTTTTTTTCTCTTTATTTCCCTAATTTAATTTTAATAATAATACATAATAAAAAAAATGAAAGAATATAAAAAACATAGGGTAATAATAAATCATAAATTATAAGAATTTGAATGTTAAAATTATGCTTGAGGTTGCCTAATAAAGGAAGTTGAAGTTGTCATTAAATTTAACTATTCTTTAAGTTGAAGTTGTCATTAAATTTAACTATTCTTTAAGTTGAAGTTGTCATTAAATTTAACTATTCTTTAAGTTGAAGACATAGGGTAATAATAAAATAAATTATAAATTATAAGAATTTGTGTTAAAATTATGCTTGAGGTTGCCTAATAAAGGAAGTTGAAGTTGTCATTAAATTTAATTATTCTTTAAGTTGAAGTTGTCATTAAATTTAAGTATTCTTTAAGTTGAAGTTGCCTAATAAAGGAAGTTGAAGTTGTCATTGAATTCTTTAAGTTGTCATTGAATTTGAAGTTGTCATTAAATTTAACTATTCTTCTTGAAAATGATTAATAGAGGACAAACAAACCGTAATATATATGTAGTTTTAGTGGACTTTCTTGTGATAGTGGTACCTAAAGATTTTGGTAGCTTCCTTATCTCCTGATACTTGTACAGCAACAAACAAAGGGTTGTTCAATGGGATGTAAAAATCAGAACTTGAAATTGGAGATGCTATATACATTCAGAATTTAGGGATACCTAAGAAATTCCATGTGTTTTAGGTGGAAAGCATGACTCTGGTAGTCCCAATAATAGTGATAATAGTAGTTGGCATTCTTAGATCTCCATGAAAATTGATATCAACTTAACAACATAGTAAAGACCAAAACAAAGGTCTCTGTTTATTAAACATTGTTATTCTTGCTAGGCATCCGTATTAATTTCAATAATTCTTGAAGGTTGCATTTGGATTCGTGAATTTGAATTTAATAATGTGAAATGGATTCATGAAAAGTAATTATTGTATTAAACATTTGGATCCATTAAACATAGTAATTATTGTATTTCAAATATTATATAGGGCTGTTTTAGGTGAAATGGACTCATCTGGCCATAATTCAACTACACACTCTAATACCCTATCATCAACAAGAGGTAAATCTGATCCAGCATGGGACCATGTAACTGAGGGGCGGGCTCCCGATGGGAAGAAAACTTTAACATGTTTATATTGTGGGAAAACTATCAAAGGTGGAGGGATTAATAGAATGAAGCAACATCTTGCAGGAAAGTCTGGTGAGGTTGGGCCATGTAAGAAAGTTCCAGGTGATGTTAGGTATTGAATGGAAAAGGCTTTGAAAGCAATTATTGAGAAAAATAAACGAAGTGAGGAATCTAATCCCTTTGGTCGGGCTGTTTTCGAATTTGAGGATGATGCTGAAATTGAAGAAATAATTCCACAACGCCATAGGGGCATCTTAATTAATGAAGGTGGTGGTAATAGGAATAAAAGTAAGGCAACAATGACACAAAGAGGAAAAGGAAAGGACCCTGCAAAAATTGATAGTTTTTTTGCACCAAGAACCACTCCAGGCTTTCAACCAACTATCAAAAGTGCCCTTGCAACTAAAGAAGCTGTACATAGGGCACATATGATTGTGGCAAAATTTTTGTATGATACATGTGTTCCAATGAATGTTGTCAATTCCATAAACTTTCAGCCCATGTTTGATGCTGCAATCGCCATTGGTCCAGGATTTAAAGTTCCTACCTACCATGAAGTTCGAGTTCCTTTATTAAGTGACTCAAGGAAAGAGCTTCAATTGTTTATTGACTCTGTAAAGAGTACTTGGGCTGATTCTGGGTGTACAATTATGGGTGATGGTTGGACTAATGGTAGACATAGAACTCTTATTAATTTTCTTGTCTATTGTCCTAGAGGAATCAGTTTTGTTAAATCTGTTGATGCCTCTGATGTTGTAAAAGATGCGCATCTTCTTTTTAAATTTTTTGAAGAAATTATTGAGTGGGTGGGAGCAAGCAATATTGTGCACATGGTGACAGATAATGGGGCAAATTATGTTGCTGCTGGAAGGCTTGTTAGTGAAACTTACAAGAATATTAATTGGTCTCCTTGTGCAGCACATTGTTTGAACTTAGTGTTAAGTGATATTTCCAAGTTGAATCATGTGAAATAGCTTGCGTCTAGAGCATCAAGTGTGACAAGATTTATTTACAATCGACCATGGTTGATAGCTTGGTTGAGGAAAAGGAAAGGATGGACTAAAATTGTGCGCCCAGGAGCAACCCGTTTTGCCACTACTTTCATTGCATTGCATAGTATTCAAAAACATATGCATGATTTGAAAGCCTTGGTGACAAGTAAGGATTTTGTCGATTCAAGGCATGCAAAAGATAAGAAAGCAAAAGAAGTTGTTGCTATCATTTTAGATAGTAAGTTTTCAAATGATTGCTTGATCATTGTTAAGATTGTTGAGCCACTCATGAGATTGTTGCGTATTGTTGATGGAGATAAAAAAACCTTCAATGGGATATGTATATGAGGGCATGTATAGGGCAAGAATAGAAATTAAGAATGTTTTCATGAAGAAAAAAAGATTGTACAAGCCTTATACAAGTATTGTCAAAGATCGTTGGGATAGGACATTACGCAAAAATATCCATGCTGCGGCTTATTGGTTGAATCCGGCTTTTCAATATGATCAATCATCATTTTGAAAAAAACCAAAGGTTATGGCAAGTGTGCTTGATGTGATAGAAACAAAAGCTACATGTAGCAAGACAAAACTCTCGGATGAAGCAAGATTGTTTCGAGATCAATTAGAAAGTTTTGGAAGAGAGCTTGCTACTATTACATCCAAGACAACACAACCAGGCAAAATTATTTATTACATTTAATTTTTTTTCATTGTGATTGCTTAATAATTCTTTAAGTGTAATATTAGATCTAATTTATTTATTTCTTCTTTTCTTTTAATAATAAGATGAATGGTGGAGGTTATTTGGCCATAGTGCTCCAAATTTGCAAAAGTTGGCTATTCGAATTCTTAGCCAAACTAGTAGCTCTTCTGGATGTGAAAGGAACTGGAGTGTTTTTGAACATATTCATACAAAGAAGAGAAATAGATTGGAACATCAAAGGCTTAATGATCTTGTATACATTCATTATAATTTGCGATTGAAGAATAGGTAAATGAACCATTTACCTTGTCATACATTTAGTAATAAAATATTTATTCAAGTAATCTTACTTCTAAGTGAAAATTATAGGCATTTCAACAACATGAAGAACTATGATCTTGTTGACATTGAAAGTATTGACAAAACCGAGTTTTGTATTGTTAAAGATGAAGAAGAGCCTCCTCTTCTTGATTTTGATGAGTTGGAACAAATGCTTTATCAAGAAAGTTCGGCTCCACAAAATAAGAGGCAATGTCATGGTCTACGTGATGGTTAGTAATTAATTATTTCATTATTATATAACAATGTTTTTGTTATTATTAAATTGATTACTTGTTGATTTTGTCGTAACTATTGTAGAAGATGACGAGGATGATGTAGTCTTAGAGGTTGGAGATGATATTGACCTTGGATCATTTGGTGATGTCAACATGGATGATAGATCTAATGCTCAAAGTGGTGGAGTTGGCACAAGCAACAATGCAAATGAGGATGACGATGCTTGGCTAATGGAGGGCTTGCCAAGGAATTAGGAAAAAAAAGCAATGTTTTTGTGGCATGATGTGTCTGTAGTGGATTGGTTTTGAACTTTTTTTATTTTTATTTTATATTTATTTATCTACTTTCATTTAGAAAGGATAGATGCTCATTATTGTCTTTTAAGATTTGGAATTATAGATCTTATCTCTATGCTTGCTTGGTTTATGTTTGTGTTTGAAATTTGACTCTTAATTGATGTAGTAAAACTAAAGTATTTTTATTTGATTATGTTTGTGTTTTATTTGACAAATAGATAATCTTAATTACTTTTAGTATAATGTTTTTATTACTTTCATTATTATGATTGTATTTAGAATATGTTCTATTTTCTAACTTTGATATATGTGTAGATTGTGTAGTGATTTTTGCTTGTGAAAAGGTTGCGCAACCCATTTAGAGAAAGGTCTTCAACAAATAAAAATAAGGTATGTCACATTATTATTGCAAATTACAATTTCATTGTGAGTGATATTTGAAAATTCTATTATTTTGTTGAATTTAATTTTTTTTTCATTTTTACATTTATATTTTTAATATATATATAACATATTTATTTTATTTTTTATACATATTTTTATATTATTTAATTATAAATAATAAATGTTAAATGAATTGAGCTTACGAGCTAAATTTTAATATATTTAAAGTTATTTATTAAAAATTTAACGAGTTTAAACTTATATTCAAGTTTGACTTGTTTACATAATAAGTAGTATCTCGAATGAGCTTTTAATGAGTAAAATACTAGTAGTCAATTCATTTAACATCTATACATAACTTGAATTAAAGCCATATAAAATTTACCAAAAAAATCTAAACGAGTAGAATGCAAGAAAACATGATGTGATTAAATAGAAAGGCAAGAAAGGGAAGAAGAAAAACAAAAAAGTCACATTACAATAGGTAAGTGAAGCGTATCTTATACTAACTAGCGATATTGGTAGATGTGTCTTATACTATAAGCGTGTCTTAATGTCTAAACCCAACTGTCGTTCTGAACATCTAAACCGAACATAAAAATCATTACACTATAACAAATAATAATTTTAAAAGTTTAGGTACCCTATAATTAGCATAATGAGTCGCTTTCATTTATATGTCTTGTACACATGGCATGTAAGAAGTGTAGATTAAATGAAGGCAATGCCTTCTTTCTTTCTTTCTTTCTTTCTTTCTTTCTTTCTTCTACATATCATATACCATTGTAGCAACTGTATTGCAACACTGGCAGTGAAAGTGATCCACAAAGTTGGCATCATTTTGAATACCCATCCTAATTTTTCACATAATTAGAATTTCCCTCTTCCACGTGTAATAGGATTTTTCTACCTTCAAAAGAACCTTAGTCATCCAACAAATACAACAATTTAAATATTTGAGTCAAAGACTTATGAACAATTACAACAATATAATCCAATCAAAGAAAAAAAAAAACAATTAAAACATATAATGTGAAACCATCATTCTAAAGAACAACTTCCAAATATTGCATGTTACTTACAAGTATTTAACCAAAAACGATGGGAGAGTCAATCACATTAGTGGTGTAAGGCATTTTTATGGATCCAATAAACGCCTCTTGAATCTCTATAATTCTGACTTTCCATACTATACGAATAAAGTTGTTTAAGAGCACATTGTCACATCCAGTCAAGATTTGCCTAAACAGAGTCTATCTTAGAGGAAGTCTACAAGAATGGAGACTAATTGAAGAATCAAGAATGTCCTAGAAAACGCAGGAAGATATAAGAATATTGTATATAATTCTAGATGTGTATAGAACATTCTAAAATAGTTTCTAGAGGGTTCTTTGAAGGTTGTAGAGAGCTCCATGAAGCTTCTGCACACCTCATTTAATAATGTATTCTAGATTGTTCATAGAAGGCCAAGGATGACTATAAAAGGAGTGCAGGCTCATTTGCCTCACATCCAACTTGAGTGTAAAGTTCTCTAGAGCAACACAAGTATTCTCTCAAACTCACTTGTGTTCTCCTTTGTGTGTGCTAGCTCTTTCTCTTGCACACTAAAGGGTTAAAGGCTGACTTAGCATCACTTGCTTAGCTTGTGAGCATCTAAGCAAAATAACTAAG